ATATAAGAAATAGTTTAATTCCATAGTGTCTACGTTAGTGGAACTCGGGGTAGAACTCGAGGTATAACTTTCAGTAGACCAGCTCTGTGGTTCTAGACCGAGTTCTAGAACGGTTAGGCAGTTTCCAGCAGTTTCCCAAAAACTGCTGCAGTTATTCTTAAACGTGTTGCAACTGCCTAGGACGGTGAATATGGATATATATCACCATATTTCGTACAGAGGAGCAGGAGAAAACATATCCAACATATCTTCATCACTTTGGCACTCAAATTAAAGATAACAATCCATATACTCGACTAGTTTGGCTCTAGTTCTTGTGCCTAAGTTCTAGAGTGTCCTTAAGGATTATCCTAGATTGAATTTCTTGTAACCCAGGCATAGGGGAGAAATATCAATTCGGAAAGTGAACTTACACGCGCGATCCTTAAGCTATCTAAGTACTCGAATATCACCCCCTACGTGATATACCCCAACATGTAAGACGTGAGAGAGGAATAGCTTATAGCTCTAAAAGCCCGAGAAGAGGAGGAAGAATCCGAAAGTGAGTCGGATGATGAGATGAGCATGTTTGCAAAACAATTTGGAAAGATGTACCGACGGTTCAAGAACAACCGGAACAAAAACGGTAAAAAGAACACTCAATCTTTTAATAACCAAGGCTGTTTTAATTTGTTTGTAGTTCCTTTGAGCACAGGGCTAAAGACTGTCCACAAAAGAAAAATGATCGGAACTGCGACAAGAACAAGTCCAGTTCCAACCGGAGGTTCAGCGAAGACAAAGGGTTCAAGAGAGATCTCAAAAAGGCCATGATGGCAGCATGGGGAGACTCTTCCGATGACGTAGAAGAAGAGAGTGAGAAGAACTCCAATCATGTGGGTCTATGTCTTATGGCCCATTCTGACGAGGAATCCGACCAAGAGAGCTTCGAGGTAAACTTTGAACATTTTCTATCTAAATTTGACTCCAATCATGTGATGAGCGCTTCGCCACCCTTGTTCTTCGCTTGAGAATTGCTCTTGCCTCGCTCCTCTAGCAATTTGTAGCAATTCTTCTTCATGTGACCCTCTATACCGCAATGGTGGCAGGTATAAGAAGGTTTCCGGCCATCTGATGATCTCCCCCGACTTTTGCCTCTTCTTTGCCATTTCCCTCTACTGTTTCTTTGTTGTTTTCCTTGTGATCTTCCTCTATTCTCTGTCACAAGGGCATGAGTCTCATCTATGCTCATGTTTTTCCTTCTTGCCTCCTCATTGAACAGTGCATCCTTGACCACAGACATGGTAAGTTTGCCATCTGGGGCTGAGTTGCTGAGAGTAACAACTAGTGTCTCCCAACTATCAGGAAGGGAACTAAGAAGTAGTAGAGATTGCAATTCATCTCCAAGTGGCATTTCTACACAAGATAGTTGATTTACCAGACTCTGAAATTGACTAGTATGTTCAGCAACAGAAGTTCAACTTTTGAGCTTCATATTGACAAGACGCCTCATCAGTAAGGCCTTGTTCCTAGCGGTCTTGGCCTGGTACATATCTTCTAACTTCTTCCAAAGGGCATAAGCGTCGGTCTCTTATGCAACATGGTGGAAGACACTATGGTCAATCCATTGTCGGATTTGACCAATAGTTTTTCTATTAATTTTCTTCCACTCCGTTGACTTGGCCGGGTCCGGATTAATACCTTTCATCTCTATTGGATCAAAAAGGTCTTTACAGCTAAGGAAATCTTCCATCCGAGGTTTCCATAGCATGTAGTTGGTAGCCGTGAGCATAATCATAGCTCCGGAAGATGAAGTTGACTCGTCAAAGGTCATTTTCACCTTCTAAATAATTTTGATTTTCTTTTTCAGAAAAATCGGAGCAGAATTTCGAAAAACGGGCAGCACCGTTGCGTCCGGAACGGCCGAAAATGGTGGGTAGGCACTTTCGGGGTCAAAATACAATTTTCGAAAAATTATAGGCCGAAATTCTAATTTTTCAAACAATTGAGGGACCAAACTGCAATTTTTCAAAATTTAAAAACTGACCAGTGACGTGGCGCTGACTTGGCGATGACGTGGCAACTGACTGGACGCAGGTGAAAGATGGCAATTGACTGATGACGTGGCGGCTGACTGTGCTGGGACTGCACATGTGGCGCTGACGTGCCGCTGGCTAGCTGATGACGTCAGCCGTCTTCTACCTCTGGACTGCGCGTGATGACGTCAGCGATGACGCAGGAAGTTTTTGGCAGCGCGTACGGCAGTTTCCGGTGGCCAAAAAATTCCCCAAAAATACCAGTTTTCTCGTCTCGACGAGAAGAATCCAACGATATATTCAGATTGCAATTCCGAGCAATACTGAAAAACTCGATTTTTCAGACAATAGAATTTTATCTGGAAAAATCTGGGAAAAAATATCAAAATCTCAACCAGGCTCTGGTACCACTTGTTGGGAATAGCAAGATCGTGCTAATATGAGAGAAAAACACTTCTATTACTTTCAAGAATAGAAAGAAGAGACATACAAGCTCTAACTAAAAACTCTCAAAACAACACCTCACATATCTCTCAAGGATATTCACAACTCTTCTTGGTTGTGCTATGATGATCTATTCTAATTTACTTGATGATAGAAAGACTCTCCAAGCTCTCTATTTATAGCACCAAAACTAGGTACTAGGAAGGTGGGAGGAAGGTGGGATTAAACATGAGAAAACTTCAATGGTGGTTGAGGAAGCTCCCTTTGTCATTCTTGCACATGGAGGAAGCTTCATGGTTATTGCTTGCACATGGAGGAAGTTACATGGAAGCTAGGAATTGAATTCTTCAAAAAGTCATATGATGAAGATGGTGATGGAATTGAATTCCTATTGAAGAATAGTGCTCTGGACTCATTTTTCTTCTTCCTTGCGGTGCTGAAATGAAACTTGCAGTAGTTTCTTTTGATTTGTTGCTCAATGAACAAGATGATACGTATGTGGAACTTCAATTGAATGGAAGGAATTCAAAGTATTACTTTTGCATGGGACCATGGGTCCCTCTAATAATACAATGAATTTATTTCTTTTCTTCCTGAGAGTTGGGAGCTCTTCATACGTATGGGCAGCCTTCAATATTCACAAATGAGTGAATAGTTTTGTCAGCCAAAGTTTTGGCTTCACTTCCGCCACTTGCTTAGTTTGGCCGGTTAATTTTTTGATCAGTTAATTGGTCAGTAATTAACCGGTACATTTTATTGCGGACAATCTGACTTATTCTGAAATGTATTTCGGGACTCTTGATAAAATATTCCGGAGTTAAAGTAAGGACCCGCTTCACTTTGATGATTTTTCCGTCTTCACTCGGGAGTAATATTTATTTCTTTTCAGAAATTAATATACATCCCAAATTACCCTGAAACTAAAAAATACACCAAAACAAGTGCAATACCTTAAAATGTCCAAGATGATAAAAATCAACCTTTTTATTTAAAAAATGTAAAATAAAATATTAAAAGTGTGACAAAACAAGATCGTAAATATGGTAAATTAGGAGTACATCACAGCCAAAGAGAAAAATGGTGTTCCTGACCGAGAGAACATCAAGGAGAATTACTCAAGAAAAAATACTAAGTCCAAGGCGCCTGAAACTGCTCATACGGAGTTCTAGATATAGTTTCTTCTTCCCTTCTTATATTGTAATTGGATTTTTGAGGATTGGCTAAGTGTAGCATCCTCGGGTTGGTTTGTGTGTTGTGAGAGCTTTGTTGTAAAGCTGAGAGGCTCTCTACCCGCAAGGTAGAGAAGCATAACTCTTCCTAGAGAGGATAGAGTTGGGGTGGCTCAAGGGTAAACTAGAAGAGTTTCCCTTGTAATCATTCAAATGCTTTTTAGTGAAGTTGTCAAAATTCCTCCGAGGGAGGTTGATGTTTTTTAATCCCTTTGAGCCAATGGATTTTTCCTCGTTAAATCCTTATGCACTTTACTATTTCGCAATTCCCTTTACCCCACACTAGAACTTGGCAAAAAACTGACACGGTTCCACACACACACAATCCCCCCCTCTTGTGTTGCTAACCGTTTCATCACTAGCTAGTTACATCTTATAATATATTACTCACACGCATTTTAAACCTGGAAGATAAACAACCAAAATCGGTGGAGTAAATAATGTCGGGGAATATTTACCGGATTTTATTAGAATAAAAAAGGATACAATAATAAAGAGAGGACTAGACCAAAACCTCTGTGGGAAAGGAATTCCTTCCCAAAATACACTAAACCATGACTGCTCAACTGAATAAACGCACAAAAAGCAAGCTACCGGGGGTATCACCTACGTATGAATTATTTGATTCAAATATTTTTTGATACTTTACATGCATGATTAGGTTTGAACCTCTAATTAACTTGTTTCTTATGACTCGGTGTGTCGGCTACATTCACTATCATAAGAACATCTCTAAAGTTTAGCTAATTACCCTCATAGCTTGATTAGCCACATAAACATTTGCAGCAAAATTAAAATGTATTTCAATGATGGTTTAGATATAACTTTTTCCTTTTCATTTATTATTAATAATATTATATTGAACAAATATCTTTGCTTAAACTACTAGTTCATTTTGACTAATTAGCTTTCTCAAGCAAAAAACAAACAATTTTTCAATGATAAATTTTTAACTTTAAAATTGCAAACAAATTCTAAAAAGGAACTATAATACAATAAGTATGCTAGTCTTTATTGAGGAGTCTTCTTTTGCTATGCAATACGGCAATGTGATGGGTGAAGTTGTGGTGTTCATTTTTAGAAAGATTGACTTTCTTAACATCGGTGGAATGGGTTTGGAGTAGTATTAATTAGAACCTGTTCCCAAAGCAAACCATTTTGGGTTATTATTCCTTGTTTAGGCTCCAACAGGAATTAGTTGTACAGAGGCACACGTTGCTTTAATGTGGGATGCAGGGTAAAAACGAAGGGGTAAAAAAGAACTACTTCGTATTATATATAGGTGTGTAATCAACAAATCTGGTTCCATATATAGGTTGTGAATGGGGTGTCCCTGGTTCTTGCCTGATGGAGGGGAGGAGTCTCTGTGTGAATGGCGTCTGTAGTGGATGTCCCGTGTGTGCCAGAAATTCCTGTGCCATCTTCATCGCTCAAGTTGCTGTTTCTGCGCTCCTCCTTGCTTCACAAAACGTTAATGACCTTTTGAAAGGTATTTCACCCATATTCACTATCATATTAACTTTGTCAATTTTAAATGACCTAGGGAATAATAAAATAAATAATTGTGTGATTAAAATTTGTAACAAAGATAAACAAATAATATATGACACAACAAATTAATTGATTTAAAGAGAAAATGAAAAAATATTAATATCATGACAATAAAAATGACAAAGTAATACAAGACGAAAACAGTATAATTTCTATACAAAACTTTTACTATCACTGTTATAAATATGTTATCATGGTTATATGATCCCTATTTGTTCGTTGCACGAGAAATCATACACGTGTCTATGTAGGGTGTGATTTTAAGACGTTTTTTATCAAAGAAGTAATACATATTCCTTCATTAAGTAGCTCATGAAGTAATACATATTCCTTCATTAACCAGAGATATTTACTTTAATAGGAGCAAAATACAATATTTTTCTCAAAATAGGACCAATTAGTTTAAACATTCTTAAATACAACTTTTTATGTGTGATTAGATAATAATACTTCCACTGCTGCCGACCACGTGCTGCCGGCCTGCTGCCGGAGTGCTGCCGCCACCGAGCTGCCGCCACCGAGCTGCCGCCACCACCGGGATTGCCCCACTACCAATGGACTACCCTTGTTGTGCAAGAGAACTAGGGGACAATTAATTGGGTTAATTAATTGACGGAGTTCGCCGCCGCGGGTGTTATCCGCCGCCGACCGGCTGCCGGAGTGCTGCCGCCACCACGAACTTCCCTGTCACCGACGGACTGCCTTGGTTGTTCAAGGAAACTAGGGGACAATTATTTAGATCAATTAACTATTTAAATAGAATTATGAGTAAAAAAAGGTAAGATTGGTCCTATTTAGGGAAAACCAAACATTAAGTCCTATTTTGGGACTTAGGTGCTGTTCTGTTCGTCTTATTCTTATTACTTATTGCTTATTCTTATTTTATTCAGATCAGATCAGATCAGATCAGAAAAATTCAGATCAGATCAGATCAGATCAGAAAAATTCAGATCAGATCAGATCAGATCAGAAAGATTCAGATCAGATCAGATCAGATCAGAAAGATTCAGATCAGATCAGAAAGATTCAGATCAGATCAGACCAGATCAGAAACATTCAGATCAGATCAGAAACATTCAGATCAGATCAGATCAGAAAAGTTCAAACATGATTTATCACTTTTATTATTATATTAATTATTATTATTAATATTGTTATTACAATTATGATTATTATTATTATATAATTATTATTAGTAATATTAATAATAATATGATAAAAAAAATAAGATATTAATAATAGTTATAATATTTTAATATAATAATAGTAATATAAATGTAATTATTAAGAAGACTATTATCATCATCATCATCATCATCATCATCATCATCATCATTATCATTATCATTATCATTATCATTATCATTATTATTATTACAATATAATAATAATATGATTAATGTTAATATAATATTATATTATAATTATATGTAATTATAATTATAATTACAATTATAATTCTTATAATTATAAGTATAATCAATTGTATTTATTATAATTATATCTATAAATATTTATAATTATAATTGTAATTAATTATAATTATAATAATTATAATTATAATTACAATCATAATTATAATTATGATTATGATTATAATTATAATATAATATTATAATAATATAATACTAATTATAATAATAATAATCATATTATTATTATATTATTGTAATAATAATATGAATATAATAATATCATTATTATAATATTAATTGTATTTATATTACTATTATTATATTATAATATTATAATTAATGTTAATATAATTATAATTATTATTAATTATAATTATAATAATTATAATTATACTTATAATTATAATTTATGATTATAATTATTAATATTATTATTATTATTATTATTACTATTGTAATTATTTTATGGAGTAATTATAATAATATTGATAACTATAGTTACAATTATAGAGATAAATATTGTAATTATAATTACAATTATAATTATATAAGTAATTATAATTAAAAATATAATTACAATTATAATTATATCTATATTCATAATTAGTGTAATAAGTATAAATTTTTTCATTTTAAATTTAATTATTATTATTATTATTATTTTTATAGTTACGATTATAATTATAATTTTATTTAAATTATATTTGTAATTGCAATTATAATAATTATAATTATAATTATAATCATAGAAATATTCAAATCAGATCAGATCAGAAAGATTCAGATCAGATCAGAAGGATTCAGATCAGATCAGAAACATTCAGACCAGATCAGACCAGATCAGAAACATTCAGATCAGATCAGAAAGATTCAGATCAGATCAGATCAGATCAGAAAGATTCAGATCAGATCAGATCAGATCAGAAAGATTCAGATCAGATCAGATCAGATCAGAAAAATTCAGATCAGATCAGATCAGAACTTAAAAAATTCAGATCAGAAACATTCAGATCAGGCGAAGAGAACAGCTTCTTAATGTTCTCTGTCCCTTATTAAAATTCACACTTGAACTTTCACGATTCCCAACAACGACGTTTGACCATGGATATATAAAAATATACACTTATAACACTTATAATAAATTAACATTTTGATAATATATACTCAATATTAAAATGAAGTATTTTAAATTACTTTGGTATTATAAAAAAAATACGGTTTTTGAATAATTAATGGTCAAAGCTAAGAAAGTTTGACACTTCGACTTTAAAGTCAAAATCTAAACTTAATTGTGGCACAGAAGGAGTATGTCCAACTTCATTAAATAATACAAGTAAATTAATTGATGCTATCCGTACGAGTAGCTCAATGGTGACTGAGTGAGGAGTTAAGTTGAAGTTTCAGTTTTTTCTTGCAACAACAGTATGAGAGTTCTATTCGATGTGTGGTGGATGGTTGTGTAAACCAGGTCTTAAACCACCCACTTGCACCAACTATTTGATCATCATTTTATGGGATGGCGTGCGGGGCACTTGGACTTGGGGTGGTTAATCCCACGTTTTAGGTTGAGTAAAATAATTGATGGCTGATGCCCTGATACTTTTAATTGATGCTTGATACTTTAGGTGGCACTATACTAGTAATTTTGTACGGGTAGATATATGTAGGAATTGACCGGTCCCGGGCCGGGCTCCGGGCCGATCCTGGGCGGGCTTTTTGGGTTTGGCTTTGGGCCCGGAACCGGCCCGGGTTTTCACCGGGTCCGGGCCGGTCCCCGGGCTTCTTGAATTTTTTTTTTCTACTTAACCCCCCACCCCACCCCAAACCCCTCAAAACACCCAGTCCAACCTGGGAAAAACAAAAAACATTGAAAAAAGGGAAAACTGTCAAATAGGTCCTCGAACTTTCATAAAAAGGTCAAATAAGTCCTTATATAGGAGGCTCTGTCCGGCCGTCGCGATTTGGGGTGGTTCCCGGTGGAATTTTTGATGAAAAGTTTTGATCATCTTAGCTGAAATTTGAATGCGAGTTATCTTCAAGAATTAATTTGAATGCGTTCCCCCGATTGAAGTTTTAGCTGAAATTTGGTATGAGTAAACTAGACTTGATGAATAAGATGATCAAAACTTTTCATCAAAAATTCCACCGGGAACCACCCCAAATTGCGACGGCCGGACAGAGCCTCCTATATAAGGACTTATTTGACCTTTTTATGAAAGTTCGAGGACCTATTTGATAGGCTATGTACAAAAGGATAGGCTAGACCGGAACTGCCCCACCCACCCACCCCCCGGGCCTAGTCCCGGAACCGCTTCACCGGGCCGGTCTGGTCCCGCACAGTGTGGGCCGGTCAGACCAGAACCGGGCCACCACTAGATATATGTGGCATGGGTGTACAGGGTAAAACGTTAAATGCGAGTTACACACCAAATTAAGTTACGATGATAATGTATGTATACAAATATACAATTATTATGAGAGCAGGGATCGAAAATTTTGTATACTATACTTATTAACAGTAATTTTGTATACAATTCTTATTAGTAACAATTCTTTTGAAAATTACTTATTAAAGTAGTTAAAAAAAACAGTAATAAAGTACGTATTGAGTTTTGTGAAAGTTTTTGAACATGCATATATGTTGAATATAATCGGTATGGTGGTGTATTGTTATACTGAAGTTCCAATTTAATAATTTCGTTAAAATTATACAAATCATTAGAAATACATCACCTCAAACATGGATGACTTGTAATCCATTTCGTGTGAATTAATTTTTGGAAAAAGTGTCAAATAGGCCCCCATACTAATACGGAAAAGTTAATGAAGCCCCCGAACTAAAAAAAACACCTAATTAAACCCACGAACTATAAAAAACGAGGCAAAACAGTCCTTTTAGCATGTAATTAACCGATTCCAGGTAAACCTTTACACGTGGCGACAGCCGACAGGTGGCCACAAATGGCAACACGTGGCGACATGTGTGCGACACGTGGACTAATGGAACTGGGAACCGGTTAATTACATGCCTAAAGGGCTGTTTTGCCTCGTTTTTTTATAGTTCGTGGGTTTAATTGGGTGTTTTTTGAGTTCGGGGGCTTAATTGACTTTTTCGTATTAGTAAGGGGGCCTATTTGACACTTTTCCCTTAATTTTTCTTTTTGGTTAAAAATCTCTACCGTTTTATTGATGTTTATGTTTCAGTTATTCTCAGGAGATTATAAATTTTAATTTATGTTACATTGAAAAGTAGCACTATAATTAGAGGGTTTACTAAAATACTACTAATAAAAAATCTATGAAAAAAAATGAGACTATAAATTACTGAGTAAGTTTTATATTAATTACTATATAATGTTTGAATACAATCAGGGGCGAATCTAGCTATGGTCCAGGGAGGGCCTAGGCCCAACCTCAAAAAAATAAATTCACTACTCTATATATGTATTATACTATATGTAGTGTTGTTAAATAATGTATAATAACAAAGAAAGTCAGTTTGAACATAAATTCCATATTAGCAAGATAGAACTATACTACCGTGTTGGCTTGCATGTCCTTAGTTTGAATCCCAAGTACATACAGATTGTCTTTTTACCTTTTCAATATAATTGTAAAGATTTCATTTTTTTTACTTCTAAAAACTCTCTCACACTAGAAGAATAAAGGGACTCTTCCTTCAAACATATACATTTAAACTTAGTCTCCTAAGTTTAGTTAATACAAGCTTAACACCAATTTCAAACGGTGAATGAGCTAAATAGTAATATTGTGAATGCTGTTGGGCTTTTGAATATTAGTCTGAAAAATAGTTTGTTCAATTCATTGGGCTTGGTAGGTGAAAATTAGTTTAATATGTATGCATTTGAGGTGTTTTTGTATTCGACAAAAAATCTTATTCCTTTTATATTTATTTTTGTCTTTGAAATTTATATTGCAAGAGATTTTATTTTATACATAGCATTTGAAAATAAATTTTCTTAAATAACATACAAGTACTATTTTACTACGTTTTGACATTTTTTGCAATATACGTTGTTTAATCAAATTTTGGCCCCACTTGTTTGAAAATGTTGGATCCACCCCTGAATATAATCATAGTCACTAAAGGTACTATGCTCACATTTTTGTTCGCTACTAATTTAATTCGGTTGCCTGCACATTCCGTTTTAGTTGCACCATTGCTGATATAACTACTCTATATATTTTATTCATTAATGTTTTATAAATTAAATTTTTGAAAATGAGAACTAAATTCCTCTCATTCCGTTTTAGTTGCACCATTGCTGATATAACTACTCTATATATTTTATTCATTAATGTTTTATAAATTAAATTTTTGAAAATGAGAATTAAATTCCTCTCATTCTAAATGTTCAAAATTTGAATTTTTTAATTTTGTTACTAATAAGTAATGGAACATCTTAATG